CCCCATGCAACGCCACCAAAACTGTTTTTATCTCTCTGGAAGGAGCCATCCACCAAAATGGATTAGAGTTGCATTTTTTTTAAAAGAGAAAGATAATTTATTATGTGTAAATTATTTAAAATGTTCTGATAAATAATTCCGACCTGGTGAATAGTTGTAGATAATTATTATCAAATTACTACAAGGTTTAAATGGGTTTCAGTGACTAACTGTGACAGTTTAGCGCTGTGCTGTGAAAGCGGAACGTCTGGTTTCAGGGTGTATTTTCCGGGGGGACCTCTCAGAGCCGATCATGGCGACTCTCGGCGGCAGTCGTGGGGATCGTCTCGGCAATTCCAACCAACACAAGTCTTCTCTGGCTTCTCCGGAGAAAGTTCGTCAACTTCTCAGCGAGGGGGTCTCTTCTACAAACAACGGCGCCAACAGGTGCATATTTAGAGCGACTGCAGGCTTTTTGTTTGATTTGAAAGGGATGGAGAACAAGTAGTGGTTAGCTGGTGCGGTTAGCCGCTTAGCATGGCAGCTCCACTTTAGCCGCCTCCACTCGGCGTAATTTCAAATCTGGGAGCTCGTAAACCCGGGACTGGAGCTTTCACATGCACACGATTGCATTTTTTTTTTACTGCGTTTATTATTGAGTTTGTGTGCTGGGCAGCTGTGTTGTGGTAGCAGCTGCGTTGTCGTTGCTCTGCATAGTTACAGATAAAGGGGGTGGGGACTGAAAGTTTTGATGCTGCTCTGTAAATTTGCTGTTAATTTCTGGAGTGATGTTCAATACTAGGTTATGCAGACTATCTACTTTATCGGTGGAACAGGTAGGTCTTGTTAAGTGGCAAGAGAGAGTAAAGCTGCGCACATGTAACAAGAAAGAATGAAGCTTGGCACATTTTGTTCCCTCTGTTATGCAAGTTTGTTTGAGGTGAAGTATGTTACCTATTTAGTTATATTTACCTGACCTGTACCAAGCAGGCTAGACTTGTCTGCCTTGCAAACTAAGTTTATGAGAAGAAAAACATCTAATGAAATTGCATGTGTTTTTTTATTTTTTATTTTTAAATCAATCAATTAACAACTAAGTGTGGTGAAACTTAAGCTCTGTTTTCCTTCATGTGCATTTCAGTGGACCAAGAGATGTGAATGTTCTGGAAGTAAAAAGCAACACTCAAGCACCTTGCGAGGCAACGAACAAAGAAGCTTTTTTCTCAAGAGTGGAATCATATTCAATATCCTTTTCTCATTTTTATCTACAGCTGACCACTAATAAAGTCAGCATTGGTTGATCTGTAAATTTGAAATGCACAAACCTCTACTTTCTTTCACAGTAACAATGTGTCTAATTTAAAATTTCCTTAGCGTAGCACTGTTTGAAATGGGCAGGCAAACCCCGCATACTGTCCCCTCTGATGTGCGCCAGATATGGCTGGATCAACGTTGGCTGTGATATGCTCAAGTGCTCCAGCTGCCAGGCTTTCCTTTGTGCTTCACTACAACCAACATTAGACTTTGAAAAATGTAAGCAAAATCTTAACGGTAAAGAAAAACACAATGTCAGACTTTATTTTGGCAAAGTTAGGTCAGGTTGCCAGCCTGCCAAAAATGAAAGGTCAAGCAATTCTCTTCTTTTAAATAGATGAAACCCGCATTGCAGAGATATCGCGCCAGCTTCAGACGCAGCATGAGAAGTTTTGTCCTTGGCCTGACTTTCCATGTCCAGGTAGGAGGACACATTGTGCATAGCATTTGTGTACAAATGAAATATATTCTATCCATGTCATTTGAACTGAATTAACCTTGAGTTGGCCACATGGTAAATGTTCCTTTTATTTCAGAGCGGCTCTGGCTGGTTCCAGCTTCTGAACCCTCGACACTTCTCACTGCCTTTTTGGAGCGCTTCCAGAGCGCCTGTCTTCTTGCACAGCAGCTGCCAGCGATGAAGCCGGAGCAGCTGAAGTCCATGGTAGGGCAACAGAATTCTTTTTGGATACTGACACCAATGGCATTTGAAACATTATAAACATTTCTCATATTAAAGACATTAGAAAACTTTATGTATAGATGGACGGGATTCTAACTTATCAGTATACGCCATTTTCAGTTGTTCACATGTAATTAATGTCCACGACTTCCTTGCAGTCTTTGACAGAGGACGTTGTCAGTGTTATACTGCAGCTGATTGAGGAAGAACAAAAAAGAAAGGGAGGGACTCCACGTTCTGAATCTTTGGCTGTCCAGGTGTCTGCATGCATTGTTTCTCTCTGTGGCTGGGCAGCAAGGTGAGCTGAAACTTCTTCCATTACACAGAAATTGGTACATATACGGATGTTGAAAAGACTGGGGAGATCATTTAGAGACATGGGACAAAAAACATTTTTCTCCATCTTAGCCCAGCACTGCACGCCATGAACCTGCCCATCCTCACCTGCTCATACTGTATGCGCAAGGTGGGCTTGTGGAACTTTCACCAGATGGAGGGAATGGCAGGTGATGGAGATGGCTCACCAAACACTGTAGGACCCTCTGTTCAGGCTGCAGGTCCTGCCTCAGCAGCCACCCATGAGGGCCAAGGAGACAGGGACTCTTCATGTACGTCTCCTACACCAGCTACAACTCCATGCCGCATGAAACTGAGGAGCCAGGACTCCACCCGATCTGACCAGGTACAGTTAAGGAGGTTTAACAGCTATATAAGCTGGACGTATATTTTAACTATAACTATTTCACTCAGTGTATATTAGTGGTGAGTGAAATCTTTAAAACACACGCTTCTTCACCATGCTTTGCTGTATGCTACAGGGTGAGGGCACCTCGTCTCCCGTGGCCTCGCGTGCCCGAAGCAGAGACTCACCCAGCCCCAGTGAAGAGCTGCCAAGCCCTTTGACCAGAGGCAAGAGGCCCGCAACTCGCAGTAGAGGACAAGGAGACGGCTCTGGGACTGATGGCGCTGCTAGCCTGCACACTCCCAAACGCCTGTGCCTCTCATCAGCTGGTGGTCCTGTAAGAACTAAGATTACTGCTGATTTCAAACCTTGTTGTTTTAGTTGTATTGTGCCACAGGGCTCCATTCACTGAAGTCCACACTAAAAGATAGCAATGCAGTGCTGCCTCGTCATTACGACTGTTTTGAGAGTCATTTCAGTATTTTTAACACTTAGATTCAGTAGATCGTTTCACAGTTCACTATATTAGAATAACAGTTTCAGTTCACACCTCTGTCTTACCAGCTATCATGTATGCTAGATTTGCTACATTTGCATGAGTGTTCAGCAAAAAGATCTTTTATTGTATCATGAAAGAACATTATAATCTTAATCCAGTGTTTTGCTTAATGCCTAATTCATGAAAAGGTTCTATAACATATATCCTAATCCAGGTAAATTTTAAAAATGGTATTGCATTGCTTGTTTTGAATTTGCTATTTCAAACAACTTTTTTGGCCTACTTCTGTTATTTCAGGATGGGCCCCTGCACAAGAATGCTTTTGACCCCCTCGCTCAGCACAGGGACTGGTGTCCCTGGATCTCTGTGGGAAAAGAGAATGTGGATCCGGGGGTTACCTCGTTTTTGGACGGAGGCTCAGCACTTCATCAGCAGGGCTGGAAGGCTGCGCTCGACCTCCTCATGCCCACAAAGAAGAACTCCAGCACAGAGGGAGGCAGTCCAGGACAGGCAAGACAGAAGTTCTGATCTTTATTTCAACCAAGAGTCATCAAACATGAACCCAATTTCAAATCACACACATATTTGTTTCACTTTGTTTCCTTTGTATGTTTATTATAAATAATACTTGACATTTCTCTTTCCTCTTCCTTTGCAGGGCCCTCGTGACAAATCTAAAAGGGTGTTTGCTATATTCCGTCAGTGGCAGGTATCCTCTCCTTCTCAGTAGACTGTTTGCATACAAACAGCATCACACCGCTGAATTGATGAACTGACCTGCCATCTTTTTGTGGTTCAGAGTCCATCTTACGAATGACAGGAATGTCATATCTAATCAATGTATGCCATCCGTTAAAGTCGTGTTTACAGTCAAAGTGTTTCCAGAGGGAAATGAAGTTCATTGTGTTTAAGCAAATGAATGAGTGTCGTCTCTGTGAACAGTGTAAAATGTGAAGGAGGCCTGTGGGTTTTTAAAAGTCTGCTACATGAAAACTGGGATGTGCAACTACTGGGGCCTACACAGGCCTTGGATCATCATACATAAGTAGTCATCATGTCATAGAACATCTCGGTACATAAATAGGCCACATGTAAGGCATGTACTATTGACCTCACATGAAGTCTGCTTTGGTAGTCCTTAGTGGCATGGATTTCTGTGGAACACAAGACGAGGAATCCTTCATCGTGAGAAAGGGCCAAATGGCTCTACACTGGAAAGACAATGTTTACCTTCACTGTATGTTGAGTCATTTGCAGGAGTGGTAAACATTAACCTCAGATTAGCACAAACTGTGAGGAAGCTCTTTTTATGTGTGTACTGTTTTGCTTAAAAGCAAGGTAGTTCTCTCAGAAGAGAACCTAATCTTTTTGGAGTAGTAAAATGCATGTTTTTATGTAGTCCGTGCTAAAGTCCTGATTGTTACAGGCAGGTAGAACGATGTGCCACAAATGTCAAACCTGTTTTAAAGTAGATTCAGGACACCTGAACTCCTTTTTTGCCTTCTTGTGACATCTCATTGCTAATGAAGCCCTTGCTATTCTGCATGAGTTTTTATCTTCATAGACTTTCCTGAAAGAGTTTAATAAACAGCTCCTGTAAATGCTTGTTTCACTTTGATTTTCACTTCTTCCTCTGAAATTTAACATAAAAATAAAGATGACTGAAAAATGAATGAAAATCTTTTATAATGGAAATACAAGGAAAAACATTAAATCCATTTAAATGTGGCTCCGTAATAAATTTTAGTACACAAAGGTTTTTCAGAAATTCAACCAGCATGTGACTTTAGATCCTTCCATCTTTTGCTTTGCTATGTTGTCTTTCAGCACTCACTGACAGCCTTTTTGTCACTCGTAAACAACTTAACCTCTTTGACTTAAGAGGGATGACAGCTACACAAACACAGTATGTTCTTTAGAATCTGTTTTATAAAAATAACTCGTGTGTCTTACAAAGTGGTCATATGTGAGGACACATGCTGGCCATAGAAGTATTTTAGCCATGTCTGTGCTCTTAAAAACATCCATTTATCAAGTCTCATTTCTGTCCTTTAATCCTGTGTAATTCAACTTCACTTAAGTGTGGTTCATTCATATATTAGAGTAGAAAGGAGGTGATTTAATGCACGTTGCCCCCCCTCCCTCTCTAAAAGACTAAAAGATTTATGAACACCCACTTCATGCTTGAGAGAATTTGTTCTTCAAAAGAACTGTCAGCTGGTGCCAGACATTTTGGGGTGACAGCCAGCATGTGGGGGTGACACATGGAAGACGAAGACAGAGCCAGTGCCATAGTAATGAGGGTAACATGAACTGCAAAATCCTAAAGAGTAGTAATGTTTCTTCTGTTGAGTTATTTTAAACCTCCATATAGAAAACAATCACGTAGGTGGTCTCAGATGTTACTTCTATAACTAAATTTGATTCAACAGTCTGTACATAGGGTGATGTCTTGTTGCAGGTTTGTATTTTTATGCTTGAACAGCAACGCTCCATTATCCTTGCAGAAGCATGAGAGTATTGATAATTATGATTCAATGCTTTGGATAAATAAAGCTGACAAAATAATGTAAAAAGAAACAAACAAGGGAAGATGGAACAAAAAGAAACAAAAAAACAACAAGAATGGAAAAGAGCCACACAAAGGTAATAGAAACAGCAAAGTTACAAAACCAAAGGTGTTTTTAAACGAAACTACAAATATGGCCATTTAAGGTGACGTCTGGTCGCACATATATGACGTGCCCCGCGGAGGGATCCCTGCTTGTCAGAACCATGGTCAGAACGCTGAGAGGCAGTGAACAGCAGAGGTCTAACGTTAGCTCAGCTACTCATTACGATAGAGACACATTCAACTGTGAGGACGTTTTGCTGTGAACATTTCTGGAAGCAAATGTTAACTTTCGGATAGTACCGTTTGCTAGACTGTCTAGCGTTTCGGAGGCTAGCTTTCAGCGTACTCACTGGTGTTCTGCGGTGGAAATAGCAAAAATGTCGTCTCCAAGTCCGGGTAAAAGGCGAATGGATACCGATGTGGTGAAACTGTATCCTTTCTGAACATAAACAACAGTCTCTCAATCGCTGTCTAGTCAGCTATGTCCTCGTCTGTGTGGAAATGTGATACGAGCAAAGTGTTTAACGGTGCTGCTTGTTTGTCTTGGTAACCCAAAGCAGAAAGAGCTTTCACTGTGAATGACTGGTGTTTTGTGTAAACAACATTTTGCTAGCAAAGCCAAGTGTTAGCTATTTCTGTCCTGCGAACCTTCAGTCGCTTATCGGGACAGCTGTATTAGCTAATCAGATCGGTCACAGGTTCTTTCAGCATTTTTTTCCTGCCCAGTATTTTTGCTAACAGACGTTCACATTAGCTGTCTAGCTTGTTGTCTGTGTTTGAAAAAATACTGCAACATCCGAAGAGACGCTAACGTTATTCCTCCTTTTATAGGAATGTCTTTCATCTTGTTGCACCACCAATGGATGTGGCAGCGGTTGACTATATAAAACACCTTGTGGCAATTTGGTTTCTTTGTCCAGCGTGCTGTTTTTTTTCGGGTGCTGAGTTAAGTCAAGCTGCCCCTTCACACGTTGACACTGGAGCTTGTTTACATAACGTAAGGCTAACTGAAAAATGCTGCTGTCTTTTGTTCTACTCATAAAAACGCTGGCGTTATTGCAGCGTGTGTAGCATTCTGGGGCTACCTAGCTTTGCTTTGTAACCCCACCAAGGGTTTGTGTGATTGTGTTATTGTATCTGCCACTTGGAAATGTTGCCTTGTAACGCTGCTGAGCTGGCTGGCTAGTCTGTTGGTTAATTTCAACATCAAAATGGCCACCTGATCAGTGTGTCTCACTGTACTTCAGTGTTTGCTGCCAAATATATGCAAGGCCAACTTGTATCATGTTATGGTGGTGGTAATTTGTTGTTTTGGAGATATTGGATGTAGAAGTGAGCGTGGCAGCTGTTTTTAAAGTGCTACAGCAGGTGTCATGTGCCTTTCACTGAGGAATGCTTTAACTTTTAAGCAGCATCTAGTGTGTTCTCTCTTTTTCCAAGTCGTTGTCACCACTTTTGTGCTGCAGATTTATTTGTTCAGCCTCACTTAGGGCTGACACAGGGAGTTGTAAAAGTGAATCATAACAATGAATTTCCAGCCCATGCAATGTTCTAGGAGAACAGTGTGAACAAGTAGTTTTGTTTTTGTCCCAGCACAGTGGGACCCAGCTTAACGATTGGGTAGCCTGTTACTAGCCGGAAACCACAAGAGGGAGGGACTTAGAACAGCTGATGGGATGGCAGTAAAGCTTAGTCAAATATGGGGTTAGAAGAGGGCTGGTGAAAATTAAACCAAAAACAAGGGGAAGTTGCCCCAGCAGGTTCAAAGTAATTGTTAAAAAGGAAAAGTTTGAAAGTGTTGGTAGTTTTTTTATTCATCTGTTTGAAAAGTTGTCACATTCTGAGTTAGTTTGACTATGATAGCTGACTTGCAACACTGATTCTGCATTTTCTAATACATCCTGCCTCTCTTCATCAGATTAGGGTTGGATAACACAAGCCTGTACATTTGAAACTGCATGTGGCTGCAATATGTGCATACACATCAGCAAAGTGCTTTTCAAGCTACATTTCTCTTGTTGTTCTGGCCCAGTGCCTAAGGCATTTTGTTACGTTTGCTAGCTAGAAACAGTGCTTGTTTGAGCAAGTTTATGCTTCCCCCTCTCAACACCACTTATAAGTAAGCTGTGGCGGCCATGACAGAGCGGTGAAGCAGACAGAACAAGAGTTTCTAAGGATTCCAGCGCACACGTGCCGTAGTAGTAAAACTCTCTCTCTCCTTGTTGAGCTTCTTAACTGACAAGCAAGAGCAGGTTCACTGTATGACACCTGCTCAGTTCTGTACAATGACGCGTGTGTTTTACCCTACCATGTAGGACTATTGGTCAACAAGTGTTGTGGAGGACAGCTATGGGTGTTTAAATGTAGGTCTTTAGAGTTGGGTTACATAGACCATGGGTTCACTGCTGACTAGACTGTTTTTTTTTTTTTTTTTGTGGCTGGAGTAAGGAGGTCTCCAGACTCCACTCCAGGAGGTCTCCTTCCTTCTGTTTGCGTCCTCAGAGCAAAACTATCAGGAAGAGACCTCTTTCTGTGCTCCCTATCTCTGCGTCTCCCCCTGGTGTAACCAAAACCTGAAACTCACACCGCCTTTCAGACAGGAGCAGCTTCTGAGAGGCCTCACACATTAATTTGCTGGGGCCACTGGAGAGCTGAGAATCTAGAGCGGAGGCCATGAGGGAATTTGTGAAAATGAATGTCAGAATGACCTCAACATGTAGTATCACTGGGTGTAAGCTTTGTCCTAAGCCAGCCGACGGATTGCAGGCTGCTTTCACTTCTGAATGTGCCGTCTTTGTGTTTACATGCCAGTAGCCTTAACTCTTTGTACAATCTCGTGCTATAGTCATGGAGAAGGCATGAAGTCTGACTTTGCACTGTATGTTTCTGTGCGTTCCTGTTCTTTCACTCCCCCCCTCTTATATAAACTTATCGTCTTGAGTGGAAGGAGCCAACGTTTACTGTACAGTCTCTGACAGACTGAATTCCTCGACTATAAACTAGAATTATGTCCAATGACCTGCATAACTTCTGACCTTTTGGTGTTCTCTCTTGCTCTTGGACGTGTTGCTTCCATTTTGGAACATGATGTTCTTGAATAAGGGTCTTCGCTGAGTGTGTCGTTTCAAAGAGCTTTACATTCAGCTTGTGTGGGGTTGACTGCACATACTGTGTAGGAAGTTGTGCTATTATTTGCATGTATTCATCGTTGGTCTACTCGCTTTACAAATGCTTTCAAGCAGTAAGCTGCTGGAATTTGAGCACAGGTAAATTACAAAGCGATGATCCCATTGTGAATGCTAACACAGGCGCCTGTGCTGTTTGACCTATGAGTTTTAATGCAGGAAGTTGGACGACGAAGAAAACCTATAGAATAATTTTTATAATATAGTGAAGAGAGCCTAACAAAATCATTTTTACACGAATGTTTTGGCATTAAAATGCATTTTAACTAACATTTTTTAAAAAACTTTCACTTGCATTCATGCGAGTGTGTAGGTTAGATAACAACTGGAGTGGTAACCGGGAAAAAAGTTTCTGTAAGCATATTGTTCACTTTATGTGTAAAGAAAGCCACGAACCTTTATAAGTAAAAATGTGTATAGACTTACCTAAAAGGAGTTGGCAAGCTAATGGATTCCTTACATCAAAAAGCAAAGGTTCCTTTCTTAAATCAATAAACCTCTCTTTGAATTTTCTCTTCTTTGCTCTCTGTTGAGGTCATAGGTCTCATGAAGTATTTATGTGTATAATAGCTTTAGCCTGAAGACTTGTTTTTCTATGTAATCTTATTTCATCAGAGAGGACGTTAAGAGATTTGAAGTTTCATCTCAGCTGTACTTTCTTAAGCTGCTGGAAGGTCTGACAGTGACTGGCTAACAAATCTCCAAAGTATGGCCACTTTTAATTTACGTTGACGACTGTTGGGAGTTGTTGGGAAGAGTCTTGCATGCTTAATCTGGCCCAGTAGCCATCCTGATACCTGACATCAACACCGGTTTACGCTTTTCTTCATCAATTTACCCCTAAATGTGCTGGAGCAGATGATGGAGCTTTGTTGTGTGGCATGTTTGTGCTTCATCTTTCACTTTTCAAGGATTCTTTTTTTTTTTTTCCCCTAAAGTGACTGTTGAGGCAGCACTTGGCCTTTACTAATCCTGATTTATTCAGTTGTCCACAATCTGGGGGCCGGCTCGTTCGGTTAGGATTCACCTCCTCCCTGCTTTTTTGACCGCCCTCCCCACTTCACCCCCCCCCACCCTCCCGAAGTGGAATACCAATCCTGAGCTTTATCTGCTCTCCGCTTAGTGTTTCGGCCCTATTGTGCCCTTGCAACATGACATCCGGACAGCATCAGCAGTGGAGCCTTTTGTGTTTCCCATTTACAGGAGCCCCTGTGACCTCCACCTCCTGCTGCTGTGTCAGACCATGTCACACAGTCATGGGCAGCCACACTGCACTCTGTGCTATTATTGTCAGACTGAAGCAACTGGACGCAGTCTACTGTAGGGAAGGAGCCAGTAATTTTCTGCCCTTTCCTGACTAACCTGATTGATTAAATGAATAGGAGCATGATGAACCCATGACAAGAATGGGGAAAACCCTGGTCTGGTGATGGAGTTGCGTACACTAACAACTTGCTTTGTTATTGTGGGGTAGTAGCCCTACAGTCATGGACACAAAGGAGCTAAGAAGGTTGCAGAAAACTTTAACGCCGCAGTAATATTTTGTATCATGCTGTCAGCCAAATTAGGATATACTGCATGTGTAAATGGGTACAACAAACAAAAACACATGTTGCAGTTTATTTACAGTCAAATTATAGGTTGTTTGGGTGGAATCCCTGTTATGTTCAGTGATGCAAGTTTGTGTTCGCCATGTTTTTAACTCTGCTTGCTTCAGGTGCCGACTATGCCGTTAAGCCTTAAGCCCGGTTATTATTTTGTGGTTCACGTTTGTTGTAGATCAAGGTTAATATTTAATCTGAAGCTAAAACTCAACCAGTGATGGTATGGAACTAAGGACCAGATCAAGTCGTGGGAAAACTGAAAACATAATCCCAAAATTCTGTTGGTTCTACAGCCAAATATAGTGCACATCTTAGGAATTATATGTGGTGGTTCTTGTGCTCTGTGCGTGCTGATATTCATGAAAAGAATGTAATTTTAGGATAGAAACAGTTCTCTCATCTCCAACCAATCTATTTTCTAAAAAGAAAAAGAGAAAACTTTGGCATTTACTGGAGCGTTTCAACATCTTTTGTACATCCTATGATGTAGAGTCAGGGCCTCTTTTGTACAGGCACGATCTCAAGGATGTCTTGCTGTCAGTCAGAAAGCCTAAATGTGCTACAGTTTATTTTTTTTCTTCTGGCTCTACATTTGCTGCGGTTATAACTTTGTCTGTATTAATGCAGGTGTCTTTAAAAAT